GGGGCAGGTGAATCTCCATGGGCAGTGTGTTCAAAAGGTGAGGGGCCACCACCAAGAAGGCCTGATTTGTAGTTGTTTCCTTCCAGGCCTCTGTTTTTAGCTTGAGATATTGTCTTTGAATACTGTAAAATGCCTTGGGTCCTTTTTTATTGAGAAAGGTGCATTAAAATAGTTTAAATAAATACAGTAATAATAAATAAAGCCTGAGAAAAAGAAAGGAGAAGCCTTTCTCTCAGTCCCACCACCTTCACAGGTGTGTTTGGTGGGGACACAAGAGAGGGCCTCCTTCTCTGTTGCTGCTCCCAAACTCTGGAACTCCTTCCCACCAGAGGCCAGGCTGGCTCCATCTTTGCTGCCCTTCTGCAAGCGCGCAAAGTCCTTTATGTGATCAAGGCCTTTCTGGCCAGCAGTAGAGAACATTCAATCCTTCAGGTGCTTTGAATTTTATATCCCAAAATCTGTAACCAAAATGACTAATGGGCAATGAAATGTTCCTCATTCTTATTTATGAAAAGTTGCTTTTTTAACAAGATAGTGGGTTCATCAAACCGCACTCTTATGAAGCTCAATTTTGCCTGTGTTTATACAGAATGAAATGCCAGTGCATTCCAGGTGAGACTTTGAACCTTCTGGGGAAATATGCATAGATCTGGTTAATGGTATAACCTTATGACCTGTCTTCACACTCATCCATGAAGGAGGTCGACTAAAAACAGGGTCTTCTCAGTCGTAGCCCCATTCCTTTGGAATGAGCTCCCCGGTGAGCTGCTCCTGGCCTTCTCCCTCATAGATATCAAGAGGATGCTCAAAACAAGGCTGTTTACTGAAGCTTCTGAGATCATCCTCTCTTTATGCAGTATGGATTAACCATCTTTGCGTTGCCTGTTCACCATCAATCCATTTTTGATTTATTGGGCAGGTATTGCTTTTGTGTTGATATATGGAAGTTGTGTTTAGAAATTTATTTAAAATTTATTTTTTTTCTATGCTATTTTTGTTTATGCTGGATGTATATTTATTTTTCATTTATTTATTTGAAATAGTTTTTCCCCGCCTTTCTCCTTAAACCTCTCAGTGTTTATCATTAATCAGTGCAGTATACAGATTCAATAAACCAATAAATATGTTTCCTTTATGGAGTCAATCCACCTCATCTTTGGTCTTCTTCTTTTCCTGCCCCCTTCAGTTATTCCTAGCATTACTGTCTCTTCCAACAAGGTATTCTCAGACGCCACTGTAGTTGCTGTCTATTGGAAGCCTTTCTAGCAGACTCAGAGCTGTAATGTGAGAACTGACTTCCCTTAGACACCATCATATCATGGTTTAATAATGCCTGCCCTTTTAATGCTATTAGTTGGTTAGCACCAGGAGTGTTGTCAAGTCTTTGAGTCTCAATCCCGAATCCAAGTCTTTGTACCAAGCCTCAAATCTGAGTCACTATTAAAAACAAGGTTTTTTTCACAGGAAAAAAGGGAGAGGTGGGTGGGTTCCAAGACATGGGTTGTGAGTCCAAATCATTGAAAAAACAACAACTAAGTCCAAGTTGAGTCACCAGTGCGGCTTAAGTCCAACTTTGATGGCGTGTCCTGCAAGTCAAGTCCCCATCCCTGGTTGGTAGAAGTCAACATCGATATATTTATTCTAGATCTCAGTTATCTTCTGTAGACTGATTTGAGCCTTGTCTACACAGAGACGAACAGCTGGTGCTTGAAAAATTACTTTTTGGACTTGATCTCAAAATCTGGTGGTAGCCATGCTTGCTGGGTAATTCTGGAAACTGTAGTCCAAAGGTGTAAGTTTTCCAGGCTTTACACAATACCAAGTTTAAAATGTACATGTCACTGAGTGCAAGTTCAGTAATACATTCAAAAGGCTGGTTCCACTTAAATCAGGAAAGAGGAAAGAGAAACAAGTCATCCATATTAAACAAGAGAAATTATGTCCATAGTGATTCCCCCCCCCCTTTCCAGGTTCAAAATTGTGCTTTTAAAAGTTGCTTTACGGGTGGCACAAGAATCAAGTAAACTATAGCAACATGTAGGGCACAGCACTATATTTTCTGGAGAAGATCTTAAACTGCCACAACTGGGTGGATAAGCCCATTCTTCTTTAAACTTGTGCACTCCTTTAGAAATGTTTATCAGTTAAAGATTGCTTGCTGTGTAATACCAGCCAAATCCAAGATGTAGGTTTAAAGTTTAAACATATACCTTTAGACTTCTCTGGTCGATACAAAGCAAGTTGCAATGTGGAGCTGTAGAGGTGGCCAACCTATGCACACTTAAGTCAAGAGTTCAATGGAACCTTCTTATGAGAAGGAGTCTTATAGTGCCTAGGAGTGCACTGGAGAAGATAGTTTTAATCACATTAAAGTTCACTGACTAATAGGCTTTTAAAACCTATCTCAGAATGATGAGGTTGGAAGACATTACAAAGGTCATTAGGTGAAAGAAGACAGGCACCAGTGACTGACTAACAGTGGCTGGCAGGTATCAGACTAGGAAGAGCTGCCTTTTGCTGACCCAAATGCATCACCTGTGACTGGCAGCTGCCCTCCATGGCTGTTGACTTGAGTTTTTCCCATCCTTACCTCCAGAGATGCATTAGAGAGCCAAGGGCTTGGACCTCTCAGCACTACTCTTCTCTTTCTTTCTTGAATATTCCCCCCAAAAAACTTCCCAGCTAGCACAGTCCTGTTGCCTGAGGCCTTTTGTGCACTGTGGTTCTAAAAAGTAACTTTTCCGAACTCGGGTTTTGCATATGCAGCATGTATGAATTGTATACCACCTTGCCACTGCGGAAAGGAGTTCCCTAGTGGAGGTGCCACCACCAAAAACCTACAGTCCAGTTTATCCATTCATTCATATATATTTTTGATGCCACTTACCAAGGCGAAGTCCCCCAGCCCTCAATTGCAAACACACACACATTCAAATCATAAAATGCATAAAAGTTGAGGTACTTTCTATGCACATAAAACAGCATAGCATTTGAATTCAGGTAAAACAGATCAAAATAGAGATCAGAAATCATTTAAACAAGGTCTTCCCAGCAGCCTTATAAAAGTGGGCAAGTGGGATTCAGAGGAAGCCCTCCTTGTAATTCTTAACTCCATGGGTGGTGTAGGCCAGTGGTCTCCAACCTTGGGCCTCCAGATGTTCTTGGACTTCAACTCCCAGAAATTCTGGCCAGCCAAGGTGGTGGTGAAGGCTTCTGGGAGTGGTAGTCCAAGAACATCTGGAGGCCCAAGGTTGGGGACCATTGGTGTAGGCAGTGTGAGAGTTGAACAGGAGTAAGAAGGCTTGGCTCTGGCACAAGGCCAAGCATATAAGCCTGCCTGCTTCATGATGCCTCCCTGTCTTTTTCCAGCTAGGGTAAATAGCTGTTCTGGAATAGCACCTTTTCAATAAAGAAATGGTGTAGAGGAAAGGGTTACATCTCTGCCCTTTGTGGCTTAAGGCTGGATCAGGCCCTGGATAGCTAGAATTTGTTTCTTTGGAAAAGGAAAAAAGATGCTGAATATTCCAGTACTAGAATCCCACTTGGAGCAAATCTACAACTGTACAATTACAGTAGTTTGGTCTCATGTTACCTGCCGAGGCTCCATCCTAAGAAATCTAGGGATTTGTGGTTGGTGAGCTACTTGAGGTTCTATGATAAACTAACAAACTTCTCCGAACTGTAGTAGGGAATTGTGCAGGTCTTTAATGATGTGCCATCAAGTTTATTCTAGCTTATGTTGACTCTTCCCAGGGTGGTCGTAGGTATACTCAGAAGTGGTTTACCTTTCCCTTCTCCAGAGGTTATCCTGGGATTGGGCAGCCTGCCCAAGGCCACACAAGTTGGCTCTTTTTTCCAGGTGGCACAGTGAAGAATTGAATTTCCAACCTCTGGAGCCAACACCCCACACAGTCACCCAATACCACAGCCTACCCCCACCCCCTTCCTTTCCCTACCTTAGGCCTCACCCCATCCCAGCCCCACCGACACCCTCTTACCTTAATCACTACTGCTGAGGTCTTCTGGCCTTGGAGCCACACATGTAAAAATGGAGATTGGATGCCCTTTGCAAAGATGGTGGCTGCAGTCTCATTTAGGGTAGAGATGCTGCAGCTGCCATCTTTGCAAAGGGCAGCCTGGATTCCCTTAGCC